AAAGATGATTATTCAATTACATCATTATATTTTTTGTATTAATCTGACTCATGTTTGAGCATATTTTCCGAGATATGCCGAAAAAATAAACATTACCTTAATAACTTCTAATATTAACTTAATGTTCAATACATTCTCTGCCGCACCAATTAACCTTCCATTCGGGTCATGTGGATCACATTGCACATGCGCTCCACATGATCGAGACTATAATTTCATTTATAATTAACATATTGTATAATATTTATAAAACTATAAATTTACATTATTATTAAAAGGTGTCAGGATGTAATAAGTGTATTCATTTGTAATATTTAAGTTTCAATACATGATTTTATAAAATATTTTATATTGATGTTATATGTAGTAACGAAAATATTAAATGGCTTGAACAAAAACTCGGCATGGAATGCATATACCTATCCCATGCTAAGATGGAGTTAAGAATAGAAGCATATTTAAAAGGCAAGAATAATGGCTCTCATGATGGTGTCAATATTTTTGTTTACGTCAGGCGTGTTCAATTTTTTCCTTCTCTCTGAGTTCTTTGAGATTCTTCGTTTCCATTCTTCTATCTCATTAAGGAAGATTGAGATAGAATAAACGCTCCGTCCACCTTTAGCAGTTTTTCCTTTGAAATTATTTAAAGGAAAAATGCCTTTTAGATATGTGTTTTTTCTTTTCATTTTTTTCACCTATTTGTTTCGGATCTATCTGCCTAATAGCTATCTGTGAGGACAGCTATCTATTTATAAGAAAAACTGGTAGTATTCTTTTATATAGGTGTATCTAATTTTCTATTTCTCTAAATTCTTGTAAACTTTCATCTCAGATCCATTCTCTCCTGTTATTAAGAAAAAATAGAGAATAGATGCTCTGTCCATCTTTAGCAGTAAAAATATTTAAAAGAAAAAACGCATTTATGTGTTTTCCTTTTGTTTCGTTTATACCCATTTATCAGGGTTGAAAAGTAATGCGTTACTGTATTATTTTTGGCAATCAACTGGTAGCGTTAGTTTTTTTTTCTTATAACCGTGACTGAAACGTAGATACATTTTTTAGTAACAAATTTAATAGTTACTTATTTCTAACATAATTTTCATACATTCAATCTTTGTTATGGACACGTGAGTTCAACAGACGAAGCAGCTTAGTAAGCGTTCAGTGATTCTTTATTACGATTGATTTCGATACTTATTGTTAGATCCAATAAAGAACTAAAGGCAAGAATCATATTTAAAAAATCACTAAACGCTTATATATTAACTGCTTCATAGTAAAGTTTTTATACATAAAATTGAGAATATAAAAAATATAAATAAAATTAAGTATAAGTAAAAAATATAAAAAAATATTTATAAATTTTATGAAAATCAAAATTTTTATAATCTTGTAAAATTAAGGTAAAAAGTTTTATTGCTTTTTGTAATATTTTAAAAATATTACAAAAGTAAATTTTTTAACGGAACAAGTAACGATTCATTATTTTTTAAATGACATTAAAGTAATTGATAAAACAATAAAAAAATAAAAACAAATTAAAGTAACGAGGTACATTTGAGAATCACTAACTAGTAACAGTAATAATTTACTTTGCCTCGATAACGAGTAATATGGTAAGAAATTATTTTTAAAAAGTAACTTTCTCAACCCTGCTATCTATCTGTTTATTTTAGAAACTTGAGGACAGCTAGATATTTAAGAGAAGAGCTCGCGTGTTAAAAACCCGCGGTCAGTAATACGATACCTATTGCATGGGACGAAAATTAATTACAAAAAAACTCTTTGCAAGTCTAAACTATGATGTGATGAAGAATAGTGTCCATTGCACGCGTAAATTACTTCGTTTAACTCGCAATACGTGTCACATTACAATAGTTCCCATAATTTAATAAAATTAGATCCTATAAGGCTTAGAGAGCCTCCTAAAAAGTGAAAATCAAATAATCTTAAATTATCCGTTTGCCTGTATTTATTTCTTTATTTATTATAACATATTTATTATATATAATAATGTAATAATTAATAGTCTTTGTAAATATGTTACAACTTCTGAGATAACATAAAAGTTTATACGAAATAAAGTGAGAAATTGTCAGTAAATTATCAATTTTAGATAATGCACTGCATATGGCACAATAAAGTCACTGCATGCGTATAAATGTGAAAATAACGAAATATTATTATAAATCAGACAATATTTGTATTTACAAGAAAAGCGTGCACAATAAAGTCTGGTACATATTTTTTAAGTCCGTTCATGCGTATAGGCTTGAAAAATATTTTATTTTTATAATTTTCTTCCAAACAAATAACAAATTAGAATTTAATTCTTCTGTCAACGCATAGATATCGGAGTATTTATTTTGAATTAAATATTAAATTTTATGTTTTCGTGCGAATTTTGTCATAATGTCTCAAGTACTTTTCTTTGAGACAACAGAAAAGAGTTTCACAGACCATATCTTGTTTTTATTTTTACATTTTTAGCGGAAACCTTGTAAAATTCATAGACATAGTAAGTATAGACTGCGCATTCTTTTGAAATTGCCGCTATTAGTTTAAAAAGAGTGACGTAGCTTAATTTATATCGCTTTCCCTCTCTCTCTCTCTCTCTCTCTTCAAAGTATCAATAATGTGGACACCGTGACTCTGTGAATGAGCATAGACGTAGAAAGTATAGATTACACATTCCCTATACATAATATAACTAAACTTAGTTTGCTCCGTTAAAAAAAGACGTACTTTGTATTGAGTAGTTTCGTTATCTCTTTTGAATTCGCTTAGTGGGAGGAATCCAGAGAAAGATATCACTATTCATAGAGTCACGATGTCCCCACTACTACTAATATTTTGGAGAGAGAGAATCAAATTACTTCACCCTTTCTAAACTGAAAACGGTAATTTCAAGGAATGCGCAGTCTATACATCCTACATCTATATAAATGAAGCATCCTTCAAAAATGCGCGCAAGCACATCTAGATATTTATAATTGTAAAACGAAAAAAATTTTCTTAGTTACTATATCAAAATTGAAATTTATTCATTGAAAAACATTTTGTAAAAAGATATATTAGATGCGCAAAATTAATTCACTGCTTTTTTGTAAATTTATAATTTACCTATAAAAATAAATTGAACAAATTAATTAATTTTGAAAATAATCGTAGAACTACGTATTAGCAACTGCATGTTAACAACCTCAAAGATTTCAATTATTAAATATATTATCGTGACTCTAACTTGCAAAAGATTTTAATTGTCGCTCAATAAAAAATGAACAAAATTAAATTTATTTAAGTAAATTTTAAGTTTTACCTAAATTAAATCAATTTTAACTTTATTAATAAATAAAATAAGCCATACAAACGTACAATATGTACATTAAATGCTATCATTTATGGTTATACTTTCAGTAAAAATTCCATGTTATTTGCATATATACATATTTAAGTAAATGTATAGGAATACTTACATAATTGTAATTTCTATTTAGTATATGATAAACTCATTCAGTTAGAAAAGTGACACAGATATTCGTGACAAGAAAAGTTTAAACGAAATAAATAATAATACTTAATTTATTGCAACTGTGTGTCTACGTCTTGCTTTTATTTTCTAATATAAAATCGAAAATTCATGCAATGCACACTCTCTCACATCCAAAGCAGAAAGATTATCTTTGATTGTTAATAATTTTTTTAAATCAATAACGAGCAATGATTACTTAAATATTGTTCAAAGCATCATTCCTCTATAATTCATATATATCAAGATCATCGGTGAAGTCTTTAATATGCAATTTTTACACATCATGTGGATTACAACATTTTCACTAACAATAAGAACAGATCATCTCGACAAAAAATTGCGATATCTAATACACGTTTTATCGTGTTCGTTATATTTTTTGAGATTTATATCGCTCTGCCATGATACACGATGATTGTATACGCAATAAATAATATTTCAAGATTGCAATAAGGCGAGAAAATATTTGAATTTAAAATGCCCTTCTAAAATTGGTTAAAAGCAGCGAATTAATTTGCGCACCTGATATACACATAAACGACTGCATTTTAATACTGTAGTAGCAATAGATAATATCGATAATTGCAAAATGATGAAGGGGTTGGCAGTGTTATGGATATTTAATATGATCGGACGTAACACGAGTAAACGGTTAACTCCGTCCGACTAGCACTGACGCTAATTGCCATCTAATTGAACCGAAACCTTACGTCCGTGAATCTATGTAGAGCAAATCTTTGGATGGTACAGTCAGTTATTAAGCTAATGTACCAGGAGGGTATTAAATTATACCATACAAGTGCGGCATATCTATTAGGAAACTGCAGTAAGTCATGGGAAGAAAAGACACAATTATTCGATAGTATCTTCGCGAATTACGCAATTATGAATTACGTGTGAATTATGTGCGATTGAATTTTAAATGTTAATATTAGGAGTTATTTATCATCGTAATCATATAGCTAACATAGTGAGTGAGAGAGCTAGATAAATAGATAAATAGAGAGAGAAAGAGAAAAAATTATTTGTTATGATTAAATAATCGAATATTTCTCTCTTCAATAACATGATAATTTATCTGATAATTGGTACGTATCTTATATCGCGGATTTATTATGTCACACATTTAAGTGATATAATTCTTATATAATTTAGAGTATTCAGGTACAAAAAAACAGATATTTTATTATTTCTTGATTAAACGCTTTATATTAGTAACAGGTATTTTATTATTTCTTAATTAGACGCTTTATGTTAGTTCTGATTAAATAATTAATGGTAAATCTGTTTTCAAAATCTAACTGAGCATCTGTATATAATTGATTATATATATGACACGCTCAAATTTAAATTAATTTGTTAAAATCAAATATAATTTCTAGTATATTATTACATTTATTAAATATATGTAATATACGATAAATAATTATATTTATATAATATAATTATATAACGTTATTTATTTTAGATTTCCATTGATTGACGTAAATAACACATTGTTAGTTACGATCAATGATTGACAACGATAATTGCAATCCATATCTTTATTCAAATATGATGAAGAGGATAAGATTGATCACATAATATTGTAACGGTAATATTTTCTTCTCTTTGAACAAACATGCCGTTACGTTGCATTATTTTCTTTAAAATTATTCAAAAAAGCATATTAAATCTCGAGTTTGTATATCCTCTTTTTGGAAGTAACAAAAAAATTAACTTCTTTCCTTTAATCATCCTCCTCAAAAATATATATTTTGTTAATATAAGGAATATAATAATGTTTTTAGAGCAGTGTCGTAAATTAGATAAACACGCCTAATTGTTTCAATTTGTCTTACTACCTAATTACAGACAAACGCGTCTAACTACGTTAAATTAAAGTTATAATTATTAAAGATATAATCTCTCGTGCTTCGGACGCATTGTCGCAGATACAACTTTTATTTCCCTCAAAAAGATATTGTTTTCTGAACTAAGAGAATGTGCATTTATTAAAATGTTATTACTGATAAATACATCACGCCGACAGCTTATCGGAGACATCATTGTGTGTTGCGATAGGCACGCAATGCGGGGCCAACGTTACGAATGCCGCGTTATTTTTCAGTCATCATCGCACCGTTACGAACGAACGAACGAACGACAGTAATGTTTCTACACTACGGATAGTAGGACTCTCAACGATACTCAGGTACAAATCTATATTATAGATGATATTAAAAAGGATAGATTGAAGAGAAGGAGTAAATTGAAGAGAAGAAATATGGACATGTTATAATTCGTTATGGTTGTCCTCTTTTATGCTGCTGGGTGCCTATGTAATCAAATGGCAAATTTAAGCTTTACACTTTCACTAATTGTGTAGTAATCTACTTTTCAAGTTCAAGATTTGATTTGATTAAGGATGAACACAGAGTTTACAACACTCTTTCGTGTGCATATAATATTGAGATACTAAATTATAAAAAAAAATATATATATATATATTGGCATTATAAAAATTTCAAATATTTGATGCGTCTCTAATATTAACATAATTACAAGTTTTCAATTATAATACGTATAAATATACGTATTATACGCGATATACCGTAATGTATACGCGATAAAAAAAAACGAAACAGTTTTACTTGCAATCGGTATACAATTGCAAATGAAATTGTTTTGTTATTCTTTTCATAACAGATATGAAAATAATACTAGAAAGCAATGTTCTTATATAAGTAACATAAATAAGCATTAGAAATAAACTGTCAATTGAATAAAACGATACCGAGTCATAGATTAATTAATTCCAATTATGTAGCCTGTTGACTGGCTTTGTGCACCGATGCACGATGGCTATTATCGTAGATGTTAGCTTTGTCAGTTAAGATAAACATATATCACAGCACATATGCACTAATCCAGTCCTTTTTTATATTGCGAGTGCTTAATCGAAAAGTTAATTTTTTACTTTATTGCACATTTGCAGACTAAGAAGTGTTCCTCGAAACAATATAAAATGCTACGCACGGTAATTCTGATTGCTGTCTTGGTCGCAGTGAAAGGTAAGCACAATGTTAAAGGCGATTGTTTGGCATCTGTTTTATTTTTAAACAAGGAAAGTTCTCAAATCAGTTTTCTCGATCAGTATAAAATTTCCAAGTAAACGGAACATTATATCGCTCACTTGCTATAACGATACAATTAAAAAAATAAAATTTTTCAAAAAATGAGTTTGAACGCTTTGAGTCATTGAAATTTTGTAATATTAATTTTCAAATACAATTTTGATGTAATAATTAATTGTAAGGGGATAAAAGTATATACTTTTAAAGTACATTTTTTCTTTTTTGTTTATGTTCCTGTTCTTTTTTTTTACAAGCAATTACATATGATAATTTTTGAGTTATTGTAGCAAATGAGCGATATATTTCTAGTTAAATATTATCAGTATTATATAGCTCCCATTACGTTTTTAAATTTTAATGAATACTATTTTCTAGTTACAAAATAATTAAGTTCATTATTTCGACTATTTAAAAAGATATATACGTTAATGTTATAAAAAGAGAAAACGGAAAGCAAATTTATATATTGTTGTAAAAAATTGTTCTTCAAGCGTTTTTAAAAAATTTTCATCTATTTACATTATTTTACGTACATGTTAATTCTGCACTAATTGCGCTCACATTATAACGCATTAGTTTCTTTACATAATCATTATAGACCTATCTCTATTTCTTTACTCCATTTTTGAGTTTCTTATTTTGAAAGTAATATAAGCCTAGTTTCGCAACGTCATGAATTGTCAAATGCAAATTGCGGCGATACATCGATTTCAGCAAAATTTCCGAAACTACACTTATAATACTTTAAAGATAAACGACTTCCTTAAGCTTGCGACTTTTGCATACAATCAGCACAGTTCGGGCTTACTAAAATGGGTGAATTTAATTTCACGACATAGTTTAACGAGCAAAGTTTCTGACTCTTCCCGATATACATAGGGAAGGAAAGAGAAAGGGAGAGAGACAGAGAGAGAGAGAGCAGAGCGTGACGTGCAATATTTTTTCTATCAAATCTGATATTTTTAAGAATATTCCTATAGCAGCATGTTAATTAAATAAAATATGCATAATAACTTAAGTCGAAACACGTAATTAAACGTTTATTCCATTACAGGAGATGAATGTGTTCCACGTTCATTCGGAGAAGATTCTGTAGTGTGCGTCTGTAATTCGACGTATTGCGATACAATAAGCGAACCGAAGATACAGCAGAATCAGGTTTTATGGTACACATCCACTCAAGATGGCAAGAGAATGCAGTCTTCCGTCATTAACTTCGCTACCATAAATGAGACCGAAAACGATCTGGTTCTCACAGTGGACAGTAGTCAGAAGTATCAAACGATACAAGGATTTGGCGGGGCAATGACTGACGCCGCCGCACTCAACATTAGAAGTCTCAGTAATGAGACTCAACAAATATTACTTCAGTATGTAGTTGGCATTATTAATTAGAAGCTCAGAGACAACACACACACACACACACACATTGATTGGGAAAAAAACAAGATCGGAATCTTCGTATGATGTAATAAATATTTAATAATCTTTAATTCTTCTGCGCAGTTATTTTTGAAACACTGTGATACTGCGACGCAGTGTTTCAAAAATAACAGTGTAGAAGAATTAAAAATTATTAAATATTACTATTGTGCGCGATTATTTCGACAATAAAAGCAGACTGAAATTTTTTACATGTCACTTTTGTGTCATAAATATCATTAAACTCTATTTTGTTCTTTGATCTTTTCTCTGTTTCAGAGAGCATTAAACTTTTTAAATTCTCTTCTGTTATCAAAGTCTTTTAAAACGATTTCAGAGAAGAATTTAAATAATACAAAATTCATTTAGAATTAATAACTAAATTAGTAAGTAAATGCTAATAGACTAATTGTAAGCAAAAGCTTGTCCAATTAGTTATTAATCATAAATTATTCAAATGTAATTCTGTAAGCGATTACAGAACAATATTCCGAGTAAAGCATATTAATTTTCATCCGGGATAATAGCAGAATTTCATTATCTCTTTGACTGATAGAATGGAAATGAATTAGAAGCATAAATGACGATTCTTTAGCATAAGATAAATACTTCTGTGGTATTAAAATTGCAAATTGTGCGTTTACTGCTATTGAAACACGAAACGTAGAAATTCTAACTATTCGAGTAAAATGGTTCAACAATTGTATCGGGTTTTATGAAATTGCCGCAAATTTATCTAACTGGATTTCATCCGTTTCCCATGATAGTCCCTCACGTATAGTTATTTCTAGGTCGTATTTCGGTTCCACCGGTATCGGATACACGTTTGCTCGTATACCTATCGCAGGTACCGATTTCTCAACGAGGCCGTATACATACGACGACGTACCCGGTGATATTACATTAAGTCAATTCAAACTTGTGGAGGAAGATGACTACAAAATAGAATATCTACATAATATTAAGAATATTATGCCTAATCCAGACAGACTCAAGATATTCACGACTGCGTGGACCGCCCCTGCGTGGATGAAATACTCAAGCAGTATAACATGGGGTGAGGAACCATTCGGTGAGGCAGGACTTCTTTATGTATCCTGCACCAACCAAAATAAATTTGCACGAGAAAGTTGTAAGGTGTTTATTATATGACAAAAATATTGAATTTTAAATATTTAGGGATAAAACGGACCGAAGTAAAATGGAGCAGAAAATAAATCAACTGATTAATTTTAAATAAAAAATCCTTACGTATCGAAATGTGCAATCAATTAAAATAATTTTAAAATACTGTTGGACAGTTGAGAAATATTAAAAAGTTAGTTCGTTAGAATTTGAGTCAGTCATATTTAGAGAGCAAATACAATACATATACATATACAGTTTTATGAGTGAATATTAAAGTGAATAATTAAAAAAATTAAAGTCAATATTTAATCAGAAGACACGGTAGTGTCTTGATGTCAAGACACTGACAATGAGATCGCCCCGTCGCTACTTTACGCGAGTCGGTACAATTTAATAAAAAAAAAAAAAAAGAATAAGAACAAGACTTGTGTATTTATATGAATAAAGCAACAAACATAAATTATAGTTTAATTTTCTAAATCTTTTTTAAATCCGAAAAAAAAACAAGATAATAACTGGTCCATTTTATATCGCGGTCTTATCTTCTCTCTCTGCATCTTGATTTTCTCTAGAAATTCAAGTTTTTAACAATGTTATTAATGTTGTCAAACAAAAAATTGATGTATATTTTCAAAATTACATTTAATTCAATATTTTCGTCCCCTCTCAAAATATTTATAGATGTTATTATATATTTTTTATTTTATATTAATAATCAAATACCATACGATAATTAAGTACGAGGTGCCGTAATGTATGATAATCTTGACAGGTAGTCTAAGGCGTGAATATTATCAACTTTACGCTGATTATATTAAAAAGTTCTTTGACGCCTACAAAAAGCGTGGTATAGACATATGGGCTATGACGCCGGGAAATGAACCTTTAGACGGATTTATCCCAGTTTTCCCTTTCAATGCCATGGCTTGGACTCCTGAAGCGTCGGCAATTTGGGCTACAGAATTTTTAGCCCCGACATTGTCTAATGCCGGATATGATCTCGTCTACATGGCGATGGACGATCAACGTTTCGAAATTCCGTGGTATACCGATATCATGTTCAAAAATCCTAGAGCTAAGGAATTGTTCTCCGGCACTGCGGTTCATTGGTACTCTGATAAACTATTTTCACCGCTTAGACTGTCACAACTACATGATAAGTATCCAGACAAGTTTATATTGATGAGCGAAGCCTGCACCGGTAAGTATAATTAATTGAATAAATCACTTATAGATTAATAAATAAATAATAAAAGATGTACCACAGCCTTTCTCAAAAAATCTCAAAAAAGAAATTCGTATAATTTTCGCCTCATAGGTAGCAGTATTTTCGACTTCAGAAAGGTAATATTGGGATCATGGAAACGAGGACAAGATTATGCCTTAGATATAATCGAGGTTTGTATACGATATTAATCAATTCATATTCAAATCGCGTTTATCTGGTTTTTAATTTTACTTGCCGAATATGAAGAACATTTAATTGTAAAATAAGAATCTGCTAAACACATTTAAATGTATGACAAAATTTTTTACGATCACTAAAGTTTAATTAATATATTATTTCGTTAATTTGTTTTTTACAATGTTAAAGAATTTTGCTAAAGAATTTTGGCATAAAATAGTTTCATTATGCAAAAATAAAAAATTGTAATATAATTGTAACATAAACATATGTATATGTTTAGGTATATACTTCTATTATTAGTACTTAAGTACTTAAGTACTAATTGTATTATAAAAGTTATAAATATATTTCTAGAACTTATCGCATTGGGTAGTTGGATGGATAGATTGGAATTTGGCGCTGAATGAGAAAGGGGCACCAAATTGGGCAAAAAATTTTGTCGATTCACCAATCATCGTAATGCCGGAAAGCGACGAGTTCTACAAGCAGCCTATGTTTTACGCAATTTCTCACTTTAGCAAATTTGTGCCACGCAATTCTTACAGAATCTTATCGACGGGTCTTGAAGACTGTGGAAATATTAAAGCAGTAGCTTTCTTGACGCCCGAACAACAGATTGTCGTTGTGGCTGTTAACAAGTTAGTAGAAAATATATTTATATCGTCACATTATTTATAGCATCATATTATGTGACAAGTTTTTTCAAAAAATTGTATATTAATTTTTTTAATATTTTTTATTTAAAGAAATTTGAAATTAATTTCCTAATTTTTTTTAAACTAACTTATCTCTTTTACTTTAAACTATTGTTTTTATTTTTAACATTGGACGTTAGACGTTCTTAAAGCATATAATTCGAAATTTTCTATTGCAGAGCTTCTTCTCCTGTTGGTGTAACCATGAAAGATAAGAACACAAACAGCACAATAAATTTACATTTACCTGCCAATTCTTTCAATACATTGTTGTATTTGGCGCAGCAATAAATCAGAAACATGTATACAATAATTTAGATAAGAGTTAGGCCAATAAAACGAGCATAAATTATTTGGGTGAATAAATAATTTACTAATAATTCAAAATAATAATTGAAAGATTCGATGGGACGTTTTGACTTACTTAGCCATTATCAGCCATCATAACAATTTATAGGATAAATTTAAATTGACATTATTAACGCAAATGTATATTATATATAAACATTTGTCTCGCTTTTACAATTCTCAACTTATCGTTAATCGTCATAACGAAAACAGACTGAGTTTCTAAGCATTTGAAAGTCTAAGATCGTTTTCTCAAATAGTTCTATTATAACAAATGTAGCTCGTGAGATATCTTTAATATAAAAATGCAAAAAAACTAGCTACTTGTTATTATAGAATTATTTGAGAAAACGATCTTAGACTTTTAAATGCTTAAAAACTCAGTCTGTTCTCGTTATGGCAACGACGAATCCGCTCTGCTTTTATCCGCTTAGCATATAATTTTAACTATACATCAAACGTTATGGACGATCATATGACGGAAATGACGGAACAACAATGCGTATATTAATGCGTTATATATTAATACATTGTATTAATATATTATTATTCTAATGATGATTAACGATAAGTTGAGAATTGTAAAAGCGAGATAAACGTTATATAATACATCTGCGTTGATAATGTCAAATTAAATTTATTCTATAATGTACATTGTTATGATGGCTAATGATGGCTAAGTGAGTCGAAACCCGAAACGTTCCATCAAATCTTTCTATTATTATTTCGAATTATTAGTAAATTATTATTTATTCATCCAAATAATTTTTGCTCGTTTTATTGGCCTGACTCTTATCTAAATTATTGTATTCATACGGTAACTATTTTCAATTTTGTTAATACACGTATCCAAATTATGAATAAAAAATATATAAAATTCTCTTCGCTTTCCTTAGAGGAAAAATAAAGATTGTATAAGAATTTTAACATTGTCCCACTTTGTATAAACTTTTTACGAAGGAAGAAAGATGGATTGTATGTTGTACGAAATTATAGATATTATAGATATTAAATTATAGATATAATAAAAATTAATAATTTTATCGTTTCCAATCACTGTTATATTTATATATTCAACATGAAAATTATACATGCTTTAAATTATGGGTAATATGTTTTCGCCCATCGCCCTTTACCTCTCTTTTTAGAACTCCTGTCTCGTAAAAATCTTGGTATATAAGGTGGTTGATGATCATCTAATCTACGTTTGTACATTCTAATGCCGTGTTCCCAAGGTTCTCGTTTCTTATCCATCGGACGAGTTTTATGTAAAATCTTATATATCTTTTGCCAATCATATATTTCCGGTATTCGTCTGAAAAAAGGTATGTTACAGATCAATAAATATAAAAATGTTTCTTTTTCACCAAAAACTGCTTAAATATTTACATTAAAAATATAGTAAAAAGTGTACGTTATTTAAATAATTTCAAATTAATCATTTTATCTCACCTATGCCTTGGCCTGTTGGTCACTAGATGCTTATAATGTTTTTCGAGCCAATTTCTTCTTTCATCGTGTTCTATGTCGGCTATTACTTTCACAGTTTTCCCTAAATATGGTTTTAAGTTTACGCCCACTCTTTCCTCAGGAACATTCATGTAAAATTTAATTAAATTTTTAAGAACTTCTTCATTTAAACCGTGAACTTTCTCGTCTTCTATTTTATCAAATAATTTCATCGGTTCTGTAACCCAACATATGTTGCGCTTCGGATTTTCATCCGCATACTCAGAATGCACTAAAGTGGTATTAAGTTGATAAACGAAAAACGACCACCATTGTCCATTCGTTATAACCGTCTGAGTGGTTAATGGATATGTAATATCGTTAAAAGTAGAGAAACCTGAAATTTTTTATAAACATATACACAATGTCGAAATTCAAATTAACTTCTAAATTATAATTTTAAACTAATAAAAGTATACCTTGATAACAGGCCTGCGATAATAACCAGCTGTAAGATGCTAATACAGCCTGTACTGTGAGTGCAGTAGGCGTATCATTATAGTTTTCTCTTCTGTGCAAGTACGTGCAGTTATGATACGATAAAAATCCGAATTCGCTTTCATCGCCAGGCCAAAATCCCGGTATATTAGTCAGGTGTTTCTTTTCAAGAAAATAATTCAACACTTTGGGATTCATTTTGAACGAAGGTACGTCCAAAGCTGAGTTTTCGCAATCGCTTAAGGGCATGATCTCTCTCAGAGGATGCTTATATCTCAAATGCACGACAGGCTTGCCAGTATAATAAACAGGCAAATTTACCGAATCATCAACATAATCTTTCAGAAATGGAACAATTTTTCTGAAATTTTTCACAAAATTAGGGGGATTTAAACCACCCATAAACCAAGATGCTTCTAATCTCGGTTCAAAATCAATTTCAGCGTTAAATAAATGTGGATTTTCAGAGGCGAAATGTATTAGCATTGTTCTATTAATTCTGTGAATTAACGCTTTAGATATAACATCCTCCATCTGAATTTTTCTGTCAACAGCCGTAATGTTTTCATCCAATGGAATTTTATCTGCTTCCATCTCATGTTCTCTTCTGAAAAATTATAATATATTGATATAAAAAAAAAACTTTCAAATTTAAATAACTTAGGTACATATGATTATAAGCAGTTAATAGTAAATAATCAGATAATTATTATTTACATATTATGCCATAAATAAACGTATATTTGACATTAGTAAAATAGATCGTAAAATCTTCAAGCACAAGATAAGATGAGAAATACCAATTGACTGAATCAAACGATTGATATTTATAGAAAAACCTACCTTCTGATACAATATTCAAAAATTATATTATCTTCTATGTCGCTCTTGATTGCTTGTACCATCCTTTCTAATTGTTCATTGGAAGTTACACTGTTGTAGTATGCTGGGAGACCAGATTCCTTGACGATATGTGTTCTTGTATAATATTGTGCATGCGACAAAGAATCGTATGGTATTGTATGTTCCTGTAGGATCAGCGACTTCCAGCCGTAATAACGTGGCATGTTGATCTCAAATAGCTTCTCCTCCACGGTTTCTAAGCCCTTGATTTTGTCATGCCAAGCTTGTCTCTTCCTTTTCCACTCGGCTTTCCAGCTTATATCTTGAATGGGTGGGTATATCGGTTCTACCGCAACTTCGGTTTCATTTTTAACTTCGCTGACTGCTGATATACTGTATCTCTTCTGCTTGCCACATTTGACTACTGTATTAATCAGCAGCCTCTGTCGAATATTAGCGAACATACTTCAAACAGAAAGAATAATATTTTTTAAAGCTTTTTGTAATGTTTCCAAGTTTTTTAATACATATAAAATACATCTAAATAATACATCTAAGAGCAACGACACATACCTTACAGATTATGTTGTTCTCCACTTCACTAAAATATCATAAGTTCTTCACTTAAATATCACAAACTAATTTGTGAACATCGTTTCAATTTAAAAAATATCGACACTACAGAGAAATATGTAATCAATGTCTATTAATGTTAGTTGTTATTATGCATTCACATACACATCAATTCAACCATCACTTTATAGGTTATATTATGTCTTGGAATTGTACATACACTTTAACTACAAATTTTGTTTCAGTATTCAAATCGTAATCATAAAAAAATAACGGTGAAATGTAGCGATGATTAATAATGATTTCACAAAACTTCTTTTATAGTTTTAGCCTCGAAACACCGTACTAGCCACACTAGTCACCGAAGAATTAAGGTTATGAAACACGAAAGTGAGACGGAAATACCTATAAGGCCTCTAAGGATGCTGAGCGCGTCATGCGCGCGTCATCCGAATTGACCAATTAAATCATTTTATTGCGTAATTTGCTACGCGTCCGGGATTTCAAACAAAGAAAGATTTTTTTATCTCGAACTAATAGAAGAACATAAAAGTATTGTTGAGAGATACATAAAAAAACTCTAACAGAAGCATATTAGGAACAAGACATTATCAGTCACCATTCATCAATTATCAATTATAATTATTACAAAATTATAATTATTTAAGAGACTAGCCAATCAATCAAAAATACGAAATATATTATTAACGCATTCCCGAGAAAAAAACATACGTTTGATTTGCTGGAGTATCTCGAAAAAACAGAATATTGTCTTTATTGCGAGAATCCCTGCTTCGAATCTTACACGACAAAATTCCTGCAGTTTAGTCCAAGTCATATAACGTCAGATGCGATATTAGACAATACTGAAGAACGCAAAACTTTCTGTTTCAAATGTTACTATACTGTTCGTATAAATGCTATCAATTATGAGTGCTCAGTAATTTCTGGTTGTTTTAAAAGACGAACTTTTTCGAACTTAAATAGTTTAAGATTGACACATTTAATTTATATTTCACGATTATAGTATCGGTGCAATAAACAAACGCATCAATAAACGATGCGCCGACAGCTCTATTGGGAGTTTGATACTTATAGTACTTATGGGAGTATTCTCTCATAAGAATAATAAAGTGATAAACAATAGTGTTCCAGGATTAATTATTCAGCCTAATCTGATTTAATCTATTCATTTTAGGGCAATAAATCTGCGAGAAGTTACATCTATTTGCAGTCCTATTATATGAGTATAATAAATAAATATAATGTATGTATAAATATAATACATAAATATAAATATCTAATACAAGTTTATATGATTTATTACCCCATTTATAAAAAAAAATTTGTGACTTACCAATCCGATGCGCAACGGGTGGAGTCATCTGCCACGAAGCTACGATGATGCTGTAATACACAATATAAGATTAAAAATAAAGTACAGCTTAAAATAATCATTGATTGAAAAGATAATTTTTATGCGTATCAAATTTTTTATTCGTCTTTAAATTAGATATTTACAAATATAATTATTTATTTTCCAAAAAACTTTTTACAAAAATAAACTTTCATATTATATAATTTTAAATTTGATTTTTCTTTCTCTAATTATTAACTTATTGGAACAAAAATTGGTTCAAATAAATAGAAAAGAACTATTAATTTTACAGTGGTAAGAAATTATATTTACCCCAAGGTTGCTCCACCGATGCCTGATGCCTTTCCTAGACTGTCCTCCTCCTCTCAGAATTGGATTTCCTTCTCCTTCTTTTCCCGTACAGGACACTCGCGAAAAACACTCGCGGACAATATACTACTATATATATTAATCGCGCGCGGACTAATTAATAATAAAAGTCTAATTAGTCCGATAATTTAAACGGCACTCCCGAAACAAACGTGCGACGCAATTTGCATGTTTTCAATAAATTTTGGCAACGATGAATACGTTAGTTTCTTCGTCTTCAAATGTTGATATACGTGGGAAATATCTGTAAAAAATAGTTAAGATCTCACTCGAATAAGCTATCAATCGCTAAAGACTAATAAAAAGAAGAAATAACGTAACTAGTTAAAAGTATTAAAGATGCATTCAAATGAAAGAAAAATTTTATGTTAATTTTGTTTTGTACATTCCGTTTTGTACATAAATATCTCCTTTTTGCTCACTATAATCAATCGCGCAAATCCTAATTTTTTTCCTTCAGCCGTTTCGGATAAAACAATAGCTAAACTAGCTTTGAGATTAAAGATCTCGCAGCCACTTCGGCACAATCGAATGGATCTTGCGTTGAAATTATGAGTTTAGTAAAGATTCACGAATTGTCAGGAATTGATAGGATTCAAATTAAATTAGCGCTTAAAATATTCAATATTTCAAAAGATAATTCTTAAGCGCATTAAACTTTCATTTTTTTGTCTTTGTTAATATAAAAATTTATATTTTCAAACAGATTTTAACAAAAAAATAAACTTAATCAGATGAACTTAATCACTAATATCAGAGTTGTCACAAATTCCTCCTAAAATTAGTTGAAAAAATAAACGATCCAGACAAATAGAATTCGATGATCGATATTATGCAAATCAAAGATATTCACCGCTAGATTGTTACTCCAGCGCCAAAGTCTCCTTCTCTTCCTGTCAAACTTCCGATTTGTTAGCTCTGGAAAACTCGATTCACGAAGTTTGCGCCATCCTAGTCTTCCATGATGACTGAACAGCACAATTATTTTAATTTGACAGATTTGCAAATCAAGAATAATGACAAAGAATCAGGATAATGACAGAAGAGAAAAAAATTAAAAGAAAATGAATCATAAAAAGATATTGTTTAAAAGGCATCAACAGGAATCTTTTGATTAGATTAGAATTGACTTTTATATTATTCATATTTCCAGCCAAGAATAATTAGAATATGATGATTTGGAAATAAATAAGGAGAAACGTGCAGCTAATTCACAATCAAATAATTGTGTTACTTATAGTATACTAAAGAATAATAATAAGCATATTTAATTAACTACTATTAGTTTTTAGTTACACAGCTTATTAGATTTTATGTCTCAAATAACCGCAATCAAAAGTCGTTAATAAAATTATTAATTAAGTATTATAAACGTTAGAGAAAGTATTTTGATTACTAATGCATTTTTCAAATCTTTTCAAAACAAATTATCAATGCGTAAATTTGATAAATAAAGAACTATTGCCGTCATTGTTACGTACATTTATAACCGCGTTTATTAAAATGTATTCACATCTTTTTATTTATACTTCCAGATTATAACATTCTAATGAAATAGAAATATGAATAAACCTCTTTGAAATGCTTTCCACTTGACTCTCGCAAGGCTGACAAGCATCATTTGTTCTTATGTAAGATTTGACGAACAACAAGGATGAAATGATTCCCCAAGAGCATTGCGAATGCGATTTTGTCAAGTGAAATGCAACCTGAACGGCTCGGGTATCTCGGGAACGCCAATTCCCGTACTCAACAACGTGAGCCCCTGAGGAAGTAAGTGACAAATTTTAAAAGTGATTTGTCAAATTAGATAAATAGATTACAAACATTTTATGTTTTGTAGAATTATTGATGTAAAATTGATGCTTGATTAGAGAGAAAATAGTTTATTCGTACATGTATGTATAATGTGACGTTATATAGAAACAAATTGCTCAGATGCCATATTGATATAGTTCTTGAAATCAGTTATCTTATTAATAAAATATTTTATCGCTCACCGACACAGATGCGCAACAGTGGAGTTATCAAGCATGGCGTGTATGTAGCTACGATGATTCTATAACATACAGATATAAGATCTAAATTAAAAATAATTTTTACATGCATAGAATCGCCTTTTTTCTCAATTAAATATCTGTTAAAATAATTATATGTTTCAGTAATAATGATCTTTATAAAAATAAACTGCTTTCATAAAGTTTCAAATTAATTCTTTTTCTCTAATTGGAAGACTTGCTGCAATATGAACTAATCCAGCATCTAGTAACTGCAATGAAAACAATAAACTCTAAAATTAAAATGATGATATTAGAAAGCATATTACAGTTCATTCGATTTTATAAAATGTTGGTTAGCTGTTGCCAGTTGCAACTTTTCTCAATTATTATTTTTAAATCAAAAATAAAATATTCCAAGTAAACGAGAAGAAATAATTAAGTTGCTTACCGCGCGGCGCCCGATACCACTCCTAGGCCTCCTCGCGAACATGATGCGCAACAGCGAAATTGTAGTACGTATAACAATGACCTATAATAGATACAAATGTAATCAAATTAACAATTAGTAAAAATTAGTAAAATTAATCTTATAAATAAGAAATATTTACCACAAATTAGTCCGCCGACGAACGATATCTATCACTATATAGATCTCCTAGTTCCTACTCTCAAACTATACCGATTATCAACTGCACAGGATGCGTATAGGATTCCCGGGATGAATCGTGATGTTTCTCGTTCCGCAGCCGATTCATTTCGTGTAAGATGTAAGCCGCGTTCTGCAATTAAAACGTTAATATAATTAAATAAATGATGAAACGTCGCATTTTGTTTTGCGCGTGACAAATTTACAAGACACAAAATTAGAGCTATGGTGACATGTTTTGCGGCGGCGCATCGACAATACATGTCTTGATATTCGGCCGAACGAGTATATGTATTGCGAAATACGCGTTCGAACGAATATCAATGCATGATGCGTGCCGATATAATTATATTACGCGATAATTGATCAAGTGCAAAAATACAAAGTTTACTTACATAATTATATCACTCGCGACGCCCCTCGTTCCGGATTCAATCCATCCCGTGTCCGCCGCGTTACTAAAAATGGGTAAAGGAAAACGATATTAAAATGACGAAGCGTCGTCTCTGATCGCGCGATCAACTTCGCGTGTGAACAACGTCGCGGCGACGCATATAACGCTTCACGACTTGATTTTCGGCCGAAAGAGTACTACGAAATACGCGTTCGACCGAAATATCGATGCATGCGTGCTATATGTTATACTGCGCGATAGTAAAATGCATATGCAAATACAAAGTTCATTTACCTGCAATATATTAAGTCAGTAAACGACGTTTTTCGTTTCGGGTCCACTCCATACGTCGGCCGCGTTCTGAAAATGAAAATTAATTAGGGAAATGACGAAAGTGGCTCGTCTCTCGCGCGGTCAACTTCGCCGACTTGGCGCGTCGACTAGCGCCGCGGTGACGCGGCGTCGGCGGCGTCGGCAAAACAACGCTTCGCGACTTGATTTTCGGCCGCGAACGCGAGTACTGCGAAACATACGCGTTCGACCGAAACATCAGCGTGTACGTGCAAGTACCGAATCTAATATTATGCGCGATGTTTAAATATTGTAAGACATAAAGTATACAAAAACTGGCGCAAGTGCTTCGACGCGGTCAATTTCACGTCTTTACACGCACACGCTAAAAGCGACGCCGCGCGAGCGACGCGGTCGCCTACTTTCAACTTTGCGTTTGTACATTTTGAACCAATAAAATGCCCATTTAACAACAATTGTTAATGTTGCGCATTATAACAGAATAGACGTATTAATATCATGAATAGGAGATCCACGATACTTGTAGATAATATCCTGAAATGTAATCGCTTTGCCTGCATGATTATATACGCACGATACAGCTTCGGCCGGACAAGTATTACGACATTTTAACGATTCATTAGCATGCAAGCGTTATAATCTACATTTTTTGCAATAGTTTAATATTGTAGTAAATGGTAAAGAAGATGCAAGTTAAGTTCTTTACCAATTTAATTAAATGAATTTCGACGTCATTCGTTCCGCAGGCGATCCCTCCGCGTCCAGCCGGTCCGGCGACGCACCAAAAGTGAGCAGTGGGCAGAAAGTGTCTAGGTAGTAGGGGCCATCGCCGCGAGAGGGACGCTCGGCTCTGCGCCGTCCACACTCTGTCGGTATTGCCATTCTCTTCTCGTGTGCTCTTTTTGATGTCATGTAAACACGTGTGTTGTTCAATGTTTATATTGAGAAAAGTGGAGTATTCTCGTACGAGACGTACCATTTGATTATAGGATAATCAAGAAAAAGGAGCCCGTAGGGAATAAGAGTCGTTGACGATGACGGAAAAAGTGCGGAGATATGAGAAAATCGATTTTCTGGGTGAAGGACAGGTTAGAGTGCCTTTTACTGTTTGATGATTTAATATTTCATTACCGCGTCGTGAAATATTTATTCATTTTTATAACGCTTTTACGCATTGCACTATGCCTATTCATGATGTCATATAATCACACGATACACAATTTTATATATTTATAATGAATGTGATATTTATATGTAGCTTTGTTTATGACTGTGCAATATGATTCATTTATTAATTATGAAAGTTATAAACACAAATGTAGTAATACCGTGTTGTGTATTTCAGTTTGCCACGGTCTACAAGGCGAGGGATATAGAAACGAATAAAATTGTGGCTGTGAAGAAGGTTAGTTTTCTCGTTAAGCAAGATGTATATCTCTACAAAAACTTGTACAATTTGTATCATAACTTTTTACATTTCTGCAAATATAGATTAAGATCGGAAGTCGTGCTGAAGCTAGAGATGGCATAAACCGGACTGCTCTGCGAGAAATTAAACTGCTACAAGAGTTAAAGCATGACAATATCATTGGCCTATTAGGTATTTAAAAATCTAATGTAGAAAAGTTTGATTAATAGCTTGTCGAAGGGCCAATAATATGCAAACATACAGATAACATTTATACAATACGTACAGCTTGTGTAAAAATTAATTCAATAATTATATATGTATATATTTAAAAATTCCAGATGTTTTTGGCTATAAATCAAACGTATCGCTAGTATTCGACTTTATGGACACTGATCTGGAGGTGATAATAAAGGATAGCAATATAGTTTTAACCGCAGCCAACATAAAGGCGTACATGATACAAACCCTGCAAGGCCTGGACTATCTTCATTTTAACTGGATACTCCACAGAGATTTAAAGCCGAACAACTTGCTGGTGAATTCGGAGGGTGTTCTGAAAATAGGAGATTTTGGCCTGGCGAAATTTTTCGGTTCGCCCAACCGGATAAACACTCATCAAGTGGTCACGAGATGGTACAGGGCGCCTGAATTACTTTACGGTGCTAGACTTTACGGAACTGGGATCGACATGTGGGCAGTGGGGTGTATATTAGCTGAGCTTCTACTGCGAGTGCCATTTTTGCCCGGTGAATCCGATTTGGATCAACTCACCAGAATATTTCAGGTATTTATGATACATCGAGCTGAAACGTGTCACTGAAAGGCTATTTTAATTCTTTTGACGTACTTACTTCTCTGTTATTCAGACGCTAGGCACTCCGACGGAAGAAACATGGCAGGGGATGTCCGAGTTACCGGACTTTATTCAATTCAAGCCCTTCCCTGGCACACCTTTGAAGCATATATTCACTGCTGCTGGCGACGATCTCCTAGATTTAATTGCCAGTCTCTTGAATGTGAATCCATTGGAAAGGTGTACGTGCGATCAGGCGCTACAAATGCCATACTTCAGTAACAAACCCGCACCAACAGCTGGACCTAAACTGCCTCTACCCATGACCATTAAACGCCACCGTGAAGAAAGACCTAGTCTGAAAAGAAAATTATTAGAATCGATAGATGGAGCTTCTTTAGCTAAAAAGTTACAATTTTAATTGTGATTGCTAAAACAAGTGAACGGGGAATAAAAAATTGTTCGCTAAAGACATATGATAGTGCTAATTTCAGAAGATTAGAGATCTTTAATTGTGATACTGTATATCAAAATATTGTGTATGTATTGTATTTGCATTACAATAAATAATTCTATAAAAATATTAATTGAATTCTAATAATGTCCTTATATATAATAGTACGTGCAAATAAAAAAACAAAGGTGATTATATTTTAATATTTAATAATCTAGAACCTTATGGCAAGAAATTCTAATAGTTCAATATTCATATTATGGCATAAAAAATCATATATCATATTAAAAAGTCTTGAATAAATTACGATATTTTCGGTAATTAATTGGAAATAACTGAGTAGGAGGTGCATACAAGCAGGTGGCAATAACAATACGCATATTGAAAAATATAATATTATGCTGCAATATCTTTATTAACTTAGATTAGTAAAAAAAAAAAACAAGATATTCGAACGATTTCGTAAATCGTGAAACATCTAGTTCAAAGAGGTACGAAAAAATGATTAGCTAATCACAAAATAACATTGATCTTGTAGAATTTCCTTTTATACCAGGCTGATTTTCACAAGTACGGACAGTAGCACAATATTTACGATAGCACATTGCAGTTCGCTAATCTGTGATCGTGTTATGGGTGGACTTGTTGGATTTCATGGAGGAAGAGATAAAAACGAGATAAGTCACAGATGCTTGCACGTTTTGTAGTTAATGCTCGTACTTGATTGTACTACATTGAAATTGTCTCTATTTTCAATGCATATTTGTCTTCGGTATATGTACATACATACATTAGAGAAGTTGTAAGTCATACTGTTGTTGTGCAACAAAAATACAATTTAGTACAAGATTATTCTTAATATTCTTAATATTATTACATTAATGTACACGTCAAAATGAATCGGGCGCATTCTGATTTAACGAACGAAAGAAATCTGTCTTCTCTCGCTCTACTTTCATTATGTGAAACGGAAAAATTGAAATTGCCTTAAATTTAACGACAAAGGCCGTGCGAAGATTTGGACGAAATTATATCTTACATTACATATCTTACGTAGAGAAGCGTAATTTAGGATGATAGGCGTTTTAATATTGAAGCAATAATTTACGCCTACGTGTGCCTTGTTTTCTTTTTAATGGAATAAGAAATTCTTTGTAAAGTAAATAATACATACTTATTTTGATGTCAGATGCGTTTGGAGATTAGAGCCGTCATTAATTTACATGTACAAATATACATGAGAATTTGTAAGATTAATTCAATCTGTGACAAAGCACATTTCATTTATACATTCTCCCTTGCACTACATTGCAATTATATTACAAGTATATCTTCGTTTTAGATATCACAAATATCTTGAAAGAAACAGATAAATTAGAAACAATTTAATTAGAAAAGTAATCTCAAAAAGCACTATAAAATGTGCTGTAAATGATAAATTTATATTAACATATTGTATTGTGGTCCCTTTCGTTCGAATTGAAGTATAAGAAATATCATATTTTCTGCATATGTGTCATCATCAACGTAGCAATTGCTCCTAAATGTACGAGTGTATATTTATTTATAATAATATAACTAAGTATTGAAATTTTTAGAAAAAAAAAGAAATGCATTAATAAAAATGAAAGTGTTATTAGATAATTTGCGTTAAATTAAAAGTAAATCCGTCATGTTTATCTATGCGTGCCACTATTCGATACCATGATTATAGGTGTCTATTTTGTTTTGCTTATAAATATTATAACGTGTGCGTGCGTGTGTGTGTTGTATTTGTGTGTGTAAAATTTTGAGGTTGTATTAAACTTCGTTAACGCATACAAAGAACATTTTAAATTTTAATATTTATTTGCATAAAATGTGCCTCTGCATGGCTCTATCATGAAATATGTTAATCTTAATGTTTATTATAGTTAACAGTTTAAATTTAAGAAGACAGGATATTAAAAATTCCTATGTCTCTATGTAAAAATAAAAAATATATTAAGAAAATACTGGACATAGTATCAGAGAGAAACAATATACTGTTTATATAATAACTGATTATATATGATAAGTAAAATAAAATTACTATAAAAGAGTTTATTTCAAATAAGAATAGATATTAAAAAAAAAAATAAATCATATTTCTTAATATAATAGTTATTATATTCAAAATATAATTGTGACTATTTAGCAATAATATATAATGCATATGTATTATATTTAATTGTTTAATTCATATTATTGTCTTATATTAGCATTCCATAAAGAACATATACGAGTGAAAATATCTGGAATAGGTGTTTAGAAAAATAGGCACAAACTGCTATGAGAAATACAAATTAACTGAAATTTAAATAAATTATGTTTCTCAAGTCTATACTATGTCCCACGTTTGATCACATAATCGGTAGAGCACATGCAGCAGACAAATACAGTTTGTTTTCAAATTTGATTCGGTATTTGACTTATAACGTACATATAACAGTTTATGCAATCAACAATTTATGTCTACGTGTTATAATTCTTACCCGTCTTACATTAAGTAAGCACATCGATATTAATTATCAAGAGTTTCAAATAAAATCATCTATACATATCCCTTTCTTTCGCAAGCGACAAATCAAGATAATAATTTGGACATTAGCAAAATAACTTTAGTCTCTTCACTTTCTTTAAAATAAAATTCATTTAATACTTTTGAAACTTATACAGCACATATAACAAAATATTTTAGAATTTTGATTTTCAATTTTGTAAATAATTCGTAATTGATAAATTACATTATACGTTACGTTAACGCGAAATATTAGCAAAATGAATGCGCATGTAAACTAGTTTTTACAAAGAACGTAACTTGTGCACGTAAACATCTGCACACCTACGTAACTATATAAATTTACAATCTCCATATGTAAAGAAACATATTCATACATGCATCAATACAAAGAAGCTATTATGACAGTATGTTTTCAATATTGACGAAATATTATACAATTCCACAGTATGTCCAATTCCACATTATTATACAATTTTTAGTTTATATAAATATATCTTCCAAATTATTTCCGTAGATTTTATTCTTATATTGTTTTAATAAATATTTCATCTTCACCATGCAAGAGTTATTCAATAATTAATCAATTGTAATTTAACTTCATTTTAGAAACACACGAAAGCTCTTCGGAATAAAAATCTGTTTTGTAATAAATGTACTATGGGATATGTTATATAAAACTCATCAATTAGCATTTAAATTCAGCAAACGCGGACATTGCTAGCATTTCACGAATTAATGGCAATTTACTTTCTTCAAGAATGTAATATTTGTCAAAAATTCGACGTTTTTATGATAAACATAAGAAAAACTTCAGAAACTGGTTTGAGAGAATCAACTTTTGTATTGCAAACTTTGGATGAGCATATTATGTGATACAAAAGAGATTGCAGTATGAACTACTGAATGCCTGCGCCTGGAACTAGTAAGTTAAAGTAATACATTAATTTCGTAATTGTTTGTTATCGACATAGAAAACGAAGTGTACATCATATAAATCTAAACTAACGAAATATCACGGGAGCTCGAGAAACTCTGTATAGTTTGACGATTAGGCACAATGTTTGAAAGCAAACAAAGTTCTAATGTTTTTTTTTTCCGTTCAAATTATAGTTTGATTGTGGAACATATATTTTCCCCGTACAAACTATCTCTCTCTAAATTTCATTGTAATATTAAAAGTAGAAATACATACTCTCTATTGTTTCACTACTGTTTTTTTTCGCTTTAAATATATTATATATGTATTCAATAGTCAGTCCAAGGCAAACTTTATCGCGATAGTGTAATACAATATAGCTACTATTTTCGTATTATTTTAAATCGATCTATCTATATATTACTTTCTTTTAAAAAATGTGTATACTTAACATTTAATATAATATATATCTCTTTAAAATATTTACAATCAATGCTATGATACAATATTTTTAAATCGTTTGTTATATTCATGTTTTATAAAGGCAATTATCAATGTAACTATTATTCTTATGGTATATCGTGTAAACGCGTTTTCTTGTTTTTACAATAATCATGTTCATATTGGGATAATATATAATACAAGATAGGATATTACACAAGATTTTGACACCTCTATTCAATACTTCTATTATATGTACAAGGAGTGTGCCATGACAATGCAAATTATTTCCTTCATCGTTATTGCATTGGTTTTCGTGTTATAATTTTCAGTAAAATGGACCGAGAATTAGCCACAAGATTATAAATACTATTAAATGCTGAGAATATATTTTTCCAATTCGTTTAGAGTTTTTAATGAGAGAAATGCTTTTTAAAACATGTAAATTATACAAAATAAACATCTCAATTTTTTATAATAAATTATAAATTAACATTTTATGTCTATAGTACGCATAATAAAATTCATGTGCTCAATTAATAAATGATGGAAAATTAATATTACAATTTTAGGTAAAATAAAAAAATATACTCGCTGTATTTTCTACTAATACTTGCTTTCAACGTTTTATATCAATATATATATATATACTTTTTATGAAATCAAGATGCAAAATTATAATTGTTCAAGTTTTATCGATCAAAAACTATTCGCAACATGTTAATATTTAAGATCATTTTCATATTAGTACGAAATTCCATAACAACTAAAAACATATCGTAGTCTATATCGTAGCATAAGCTATTTCTCTATACAAGTGAATAATTATCATAAAACATCATTTAGATACTTAATCACTGTGTCAACAAAACGTTAAATCAAGTATGTTCGTGCACTTACTTGGCAAAGAGTGCAAAAATATAATTTTTAAAATATTGAACATATAAATACGTAACATTTAAGTCAACAAATCTATAAATGCTTAACAGTGATGTATAGACGTAAATAGCATATGCTACTTCTATTGTAATGTAACTCAATGTATCCCACTGGAATTCATTGCGTTAGATGTATTAAACGAAACTACATACACACTTGTATTCTAACATTATTATCGTTGTTCGTAGGCATGTGTTATAAATCGTAATAGAGTTTCTAATTGATCAAAATTATTTTTCTCAAATAAATAAATGTTTAAATTAAATGTAACGTAATCACAGACATCGATGTTTCA